TAAAACCTTATAGGGTGTTTGTGTAATTTCAAAAACGTCATGGAGTTTTGTAATAACACTGAAAACCTCAAAGGATGTTACTATAAATAACTCTTTTTTTTTATAAACAATATGCATTAAGAAAGAGATAGCAATTTTCCCTGCTGGTAAGGGTACTCTTACCCGTGAAGACCGGTCTTTGTGGGGCTTCGACATAAAAAACAGGTATGGGGACGGGTTCAAGGAATTTTTCATGTATGGTATTCGGGAAGGGGCGGGGTTGGTATTCTAATCCCCAACCCGAACCCGCATAGTTTAGATTTTATATAAATGGTGATGCTACCTTTATAATGATGATCATGTCTTGGACATGTAGTTTTGACGTGTATTAATATTTAATTTTTATTTAATAACAATTGAATTGATACATATCTTGTGCTCATAGTTTTTTTTTTTTTATCGTTTAACAAAGTAGTTTTTTTTATTTTTTTCATAATGGGGCGGGTCGGAGAACCCATTCCCCAATGAAGGTGGGGATAGGGAATCTCCAATTTGAATACTACGAGTCTGAAGGCAGGAATGGGGGACGGGGATGGGAATGGAAATGACATACCCACCTCAGATTCAATCCATTATCATCCCTATAAGAAAACCACCAGTAGGCCTCACGTGGCCATTAGCCCGCCAAATATACAGTATTATCTATTCAGTTTGCTTTAACGCTGTAAAAATATATTTATTATATTTAAAAAAAGAGAGAATTTTTTTTCTTCTAGTCCCACCCCTAATTGGGAACTTATTCAAGCCTTCTGTAATTTTACATCATATGTTCTTTTCCTATTAAAATTTCACTTGTATACAAGCATTTATAGTATATGAAATTTCCAAAGAGAATTCTCTTTGTAATTGATATTCATTTATAAAAAAAGGAAAAAAAAAAGTAAAATTTGTTAATATATTCCTTACTAAATTGTAAGGGATGGATCGGGTAGTTAATTTATTTTTGCACTTGAGGTCATGTGTTTGATTCCTCACTCCCTAATATTTTACTTGCATTTGAAAGGAAAAAAAAAAGTATTTTCAATTATATTAAAGAAAAAGGATGAATGTGGCAATATATTTCTTACCAAAAATAACGTTGGCATGATGTGACACCCATACATGAATATCATATACTGGACAATATTCATGGTATTTATTGTTGATGGGGCATATTCTAATATGTATTAGCTAGATACTTCTATGTGTGAATCTCTCCAAAGCAGTCTTGGCCTATAAATTGTTGGGCATCCCACATACCCAATGTGTCTCAACATACAAAATACATACAAAGATGGACAAATTGATCATTTTGTTACTGATTTTTGCATTCATTACCATGTGTGAGGGTAAATTTTGGGGTATAACGCATGTTAAAATTATCAATCGTTTGGAACCACCGGCAGATGTTAACGTTCATTGTAAATCCAAAGACGATGATCTTGGTGCTCGTCAACTTCAGTAGAACGCTAGCTTTCAGTTTCAGTTTAGGCCCAACTTTTGGGGAAGTACACAATTCTACTGCAGCTTTGTGTGGCCAAAACAAATTCAGTGGTTCGACATTTTCAAACACAGCAGGGATGATTGCAAGTTTTGTACGTGGATTGTCAAAACTGGAGGTCCATGTATGTATAATTATGCCTCCGAGAGCTTTGATCAATGTCATTCCTGGAACAAGAAAATTTGATGTGCATATTACAACTTGATCAAGGGTTGCTCTAAGTTGTGTTCTAACTTTCCATTCATGAATAAATGTTTTGTTTTGACTTCTCTTTCTCTTTCTGTTTTTTTTGGTTTTTTTTTTTTTCTGAGTGCATGACATCTTAGATATATCCATTAGGCAATTTCGGTACCACTACCATAACATTTTTTGTAGTAAAATAAATATGCATTGGCAGTCCCCAAAAAAAAAAAAAGACAAAAAGAAATATGCATTAAGAAAACCAGTACCCTCAAAGCGTACTGAAGTAAAGGTGAATAATATCTCTAGATGATGAGAGGCATGAGAGAAGTCAACACAGTCTCTATCTCCTCCATGGATTTCCTTGGTTAATCCATTATTTTTCTCCCTCATTTTCTCTCTTGTTTCATATGCGCGTTAAATTGAGAAACCCATGCCCTTAATTCGCCCATAAAAACTGAGGAAAAATTATTGCACATTTAACCGGAAAAACGTTTGGCAATTTTTTTTGGGTGCTAATGATCTATTTCCCTTTTGTCCACTTACAATCCCTTTTATTTTATAATACTTTTTACTATAACATATACGGGAGTATATAGTAGACAAAAAAGAAGTGGGAATATACAATTTCCAACAAACAGAATGTAAGTAGTTAAAAGAGAAGTGGGATATTTTGTTTTACTTATTTATTATAAAACCATAGACAAATTTGTTCAAAGGGGAAATAAAATTTTATGCCCTTAGTTTGACCTAGGTTTAGTTTTAACTGTTTATAATCAAATTCCATTGTGTTAATGTATGGTTTTTACTATTTTCTTTTGGCTTCC